GAGAGAGATTGGATGGCATTCCTTTGAACAAAGCTTTATTTAAAATATTGAAATAAACTTACATTGTTTGCTTTTCTTATTATTGTAAATAAGGCTTCAATGAACATCTCCCTGCAAATGACGTATTTTCTTCTAAATAATTTCCTCCAGAATAAATTTTATGCAGGGGAATATTTGGCGAATGGGTATGGATTGGTTTTTGGTTTTTAAAATAAACATATTGCCAACTTACTTTTCCAGAAGAATTATACAAATTTATGGTGTTACCAGCAAATAATGAATTTAACAATTTCTCTGCAATTTTATCACTGTTGGATTCTGCCTCATTCATTAACTAAGTCTAAAATGGTCCTCATTATTGTTTGAATTTGCTTTTCTTTTATTTATCACAATAATATTTTGCTGTGTGCTAGCTTACTTTTTGTATTTTTCGGGGAATATTCAAATATCATGACTTTTGATTTTGCTAGATAGTGTTCTTTTCCATTTGAAGGAGCCTTTTATAAAACATCAGCATTATCCCTTCAAACATGTTGAAATCCATCGGTGATAATTATATTCATATGTATAAAATGTGCATAACAATTCATTCCCTGGGCTATTGCACTGAATTATTGTGATAATGCATTTGAAAGTGCTTTGAAAAATCCCTAGCATTATGTACACGGAGGTATATGATGATCTTAATATGGAATTTATACTTAGTTAAAAGTATAAGTATAAATAGAAATATACTCTGGCAATAAATAGTTCTGTAGGAACTCATGAGCAAAAAATCTGGGTATTTTAGCTAATCATAGGTTCAATAAGAGAAAATATTGGAACCCAAGTGATAAGAGGTTAATATGAGACACAATTTATGCCTGAATATGTGATGAGCTTTTCCTCCAAAAATTATGCATTGGAAAAAAAGCCACCTTATATTTAAGGTCTAATAAGTCTCTCATATTACAGGAAACAAGAATATATTGTATTATGAAGACATATTACCTCCATCAATGCCAGTATTGAGGCTTACAGAGGCCCCTTGACAGAATTAGTTAAAAAAAAAAGGAGGCAAAGAAATTTCACATCAATTTAGTGATTATTCCTGGGTGTATGACCTCACAGTTTTAAATGCAAAATGTTGATTTAAACAAGTTTTTTATTGATTTTTAGAGATCACTTGACAAAGCCAACAAATAGGGGGTTATATTGTGGAAATCACACATCTATAAACCTATGAGATGAATTTCAAAAGCCCAGCTGCCTAATATTATGCAAATAGACACTTGTGGCTTGGGGGAACAACATAGTAAATGCACCACACACAGATGTAAACTTAAACCTTGAACTACAAGTGTAACTACAATATAAAATAGTATGGATGACTCTCATGAGCATAATATTGACTAAAAGAAACTAGACACAAATAACTCTTACATAAAATTCAAAAGCAGGTACCTTTAAACTGCTGTGGTAGGAGTCAGGATAACGGTTTCCCTCTGAAGAGGAAAAGGGCGGGGCTTCTGGGGCACTGGTTTGTAATGAGGGCCAGAGTCGTTCTGTTGGCTCACTTTGAGCAAAATCAGTGAGCCAAACACGAATGATTTGTGCCTTTTTCTGTATATGCATGTTTTACTTAAATGAAATTTTTTTTTGTTTTTTTGAGACGGAGTCTCGCTGTGTCGCCCAGGCTGGAGTGCAGTGGCGCTATCTCCGCTCACTGCAAGCTCCGCCTCCCAGGTTCACACCCTTCTCCTGACTCAGCCTTCCGAGTAGCTGGGACTACAGTCGCCCACCACCACGCCCAGCTAAGTTTTTTGTATTTTTAGTAGAGTCGGGGTTTCACCGTGTTAGCCAGAATGGTCACGATCTCCTGACCTCGTGATCCGCCCACCTCAGCCTCCCAAAGTGCTAGGATTACAGGCGTGAGCCACCGCGCCTGGCTGAAACTTTTCAAAAATACTACACTTTGAGCAATTTAGAGCTAAAGATATATTCTGGAAATCTGTTTTATTTATGTGACTCTGAAGGTGGCTCCAGTGATGGCAGGGATGATGTAATGATGCAAATGAAGAGTGAATAATTTTTTTTGATGACTTGTGTAGAAAAGAAAAGCCACGTTTTTATTTTGTGGTTGTTGTTGAGATGGGGTCCCACTATGGTGCCCAGGCTGGTCTTGAACTCCTGATCTCAGGTGATCCTCCTGCCTTCACCTCCCAAAGTGCTGGGATTAACAGGCATGAGCCACCACATCCAGCCAGAAAAGCTATGCTTCTAAATTGATCTATTCTATTAGAATGTGTGATTCAGAATAAATATGTAATTTAATTCCTAAATTACCAAATTCAAATTTTAAAGTAGACTTTTCACTATTTCATTCTAATTCTTCAAATTTATATCTAAGTTGGTCAAACAGTGTGTTGTGGATTCTCCCATTGGCAAACTGTAGCATGGCCTTGTTTGGTGGGATTTTTTTTTTTTTTTTTTTGAGAAGCAGTTTGAGCTCATCTTCTGCATGTTTAGTTCTAGGTGCAATGTTTTAAAGGGAAGACTTATATTATGAAGCTAGGTCAGAAGAGGGTAACTAGATACTGAGGAGCTCCTACTTGGAAGGGCTGTAAGGTAAGATCAATCTTGGTGTAGAGGGTGTTTATGAATATGGGAAAGGCTGTCAGGTGCAAAGAGGCTGGTACAGTCAGCTGGATCCAGGGAAGAGAACTAGGATGCCTGAGTGCAGGGCACACTTCAAGCCAGTATTAGGAAGAATTTCATAATGACTGGAGCTCATTAGAAGGGAGATGAGATATCTTCAGATTAATTCCCATAGATTCAAGAATCCCTTAGATTAATCCCCTAGAAGATTCTGGGAAAATCTGGATAATTATTTGCTAGAGATGTGGGTGGAAGGGATTTCTTCAATGGATCCGGTCTTTTTATGATTTCTCCCAACCTCAAGAGCTCATGACGTCATGGTTCCTTTCTTAGCTGTCTCCAGTTGGTCAGCTCTGTGTCTGCAAAGTTTAGAAGGTGAAGAGCTTATTTGTGAAGTGGTCCACACCATAGAGTCAAGCCATTTTGGCCCCAACCAGGAGCCAGGATAATCTGGTTTGATTCTTGACAGGGATCAAATGAGCCAAAATAACATTTGTTCTCTTAGTTATTTTTTATAGGTCAACTTCTGAACCACTGGTGTGTTTTGTTTAGCTTAGAAATTAAAACAAGAGCTTGTTGCCAACATTTAGAAATAAGGAATTTTTTTTTTTAAACTTCAGATTCCTGGGTTTTTCTTGAAAAGCCTGTGGTTAGGCAATGCTGGACCCTATTCCCACAGGCAGTGATGGGGTCCCTGTGTTTCTTGCATTCTGTAGAGGGGCTGGCATTCCTGGGCTCACTGGGCCCCCCCCCCAACTGCTTCCCTTATTCACTCACATTATCTGCCTGGCCCCAGAAGCTGTTGAGCTTGCAATCCCTTTTCTAAGAAATATTAATAGTTTTCCTTTCTTTTGCACATAATTTCAGTTGCCTTTAAAATCAATTAAATTTACAGTGATTAGTCCATGGTAATGAAAAAACAGAGTCTAGTGCCTGTCAATTTTATATTCCAAGTAAAAGTGACCCTAAGAAGAACTGGTAGATATCTGCTCACTTGCTTTTCAATGTGAATTTAGAATTTTATTTTTCTTGTGGCCTTAATCTCTTTGCTCCTCACTTTCTTCATCTGTAAAATAAGGTTACTGCAGTAACAGACAACTACCTCAGGAATAATTTTTGTGGATTAAATAAGGTCATACTGGGAAGCACTTACGTCAGTGCCTGGCAGATAGAATGCTCTCAGTAAACATTTATTAAAAAGAGGGAGTATAATGAAGGAATGATCTAAAATTCATATTGTCTAAAATATGCTCAGTAGAATACATTGAGCTAGAAATCTCAAAATATTTGCTGTGGCAATAAATTGACAAACATTTCAATAATTTAGCTGCTATTGTGTTTGGTGGGATTCATAAAGGGCACGCCATTGTCATGTTCACTTTCCAGCTCTCCTGCACCAACCCAGTGGTTACCATAGCCCTAGAAGGAGCTCTGTTAGCCTGGGGATGATCACTTGATGAGGCTGGTGTCCTCTAAAAAGTGGTAATAGTTTCCCCACTTGCTTATCTAGGATATCTCTTGAGGAAATTGTCTTCAAAAAGAGAAGCAAGACTAAAACCTAAACAAATGAACAAACCAAATAGTTAATTCCTTTTGGAATAAATGGAACAGCAAAAGTCTTTCAGGTATTAACTTGGTGTCAGCCAAACTCAAGGTTAAGGGCACAGTCTTCCAAGACTGTCAAGTCTCCCCAAGACTTCTGACACCACTTACAAGTTTGGGAGTCCCCAGGGCCATCCTCACATAAGAAAAGGTAACAACAAATTTAGGGGTTCCCATGGACTCCCTCAGGTTTGATAAATTGCCAGAATGACTCACCGAATGCAGGAAAGCACCATACTTAAAATTACAGTTTTATTATAGCAAAAGGACACAAATTAGAGCCAGCCAAAGGAAGAGACACATGGGACAGGATTTGAGACTCAGAGGGTCACAAATGTAAAGCTTCAGTGTCCTCAGGGATGTGTTACCCTCCTGTTGTTGAAGTGTGAAAATGTGCAGCATTGTCAGCCTATGAAGGTCACTGTCTTAGTCACTTTGTGCTGCTCCAATAAAATATCATAGACTATGTACTATACATAAAGAACACCTATTTATTTTTCACAGTTCTGGAGGCTGGGAAGTCCAAGCTCAAGGTGCCAGTGTCTGGTGAGGGCCCTCTCCTCATAGGTGACACTGTCTCAGTGACCTTAGAAGGCAGAAGACCAGAAGAGAGCAAACTCACTCCTTCAAGCCCTTTTATAAGGATCCTAATTCCATCCATGAGGGCTCTGCCCTTATGCCTGAATCTACTCCAAAAGGCCCCACCTCTTAATACTATCACATTGGTGATTACATTTCAACACATAAATTTTGGGGGGACATTCAGATCATAGCAGTCACCAAATATCAGTGTCCAGAGTTTTTATTGGGGTTTCATTATGTAGGCATGATTGATGGAATCCTTGACCAGCTGATTACCTGACTGAATGTCCCAACCCTCTAATCTCACTGGGCTTTCAAGGTGGCCAGCTTTCACCCTTAGTCATCTATGAGCACAAACTCTCCAGGGGCCCACAATGAGTCACTTCATCAGCATAAGAGGAGTCCACCATGAATAACAAAGGCACTGCTATCACTCAGGAAATTCCAAGGATTTAGAGATTCAAAGGCTAGACTGCTGCTCTTTGGGTAGAGTTAATTCTTTACTACACAGGCACCTACCTGGGGCAGGCAGCCTCTGTCTGAGATGGTCCCCACTGACCTCCAAGTGACTGAACCAAGTGACTCATTTCTGGCAAATAGAATACTAAAAATGTGATGGATATCATTCTGGGATTAGGGTACAGAAAGGCTCTGACTTCCTTCCCCATTATTCACCATCTTCTTCTTTCGCTTCTTGCATTGAGGAAGGCAACTGCTATGTTGTGAGCTGCTCTATGGAGAGGCCCATGTGGAAGGAAGTGAGGGAGGCCTCTGGCCAACAGTCCAGGAGGAACTGAAGCCCTCAGTCCAACAGCCTGTGTGGAACTGAATCCTGCAAACAACTCTGTGTGTAAGCTTGGAGGTGGATCCATACTCAGTCAAACCTTGAGATGGGACCCCATGCCCTGCTGACACTTGATTGTGGTCCCAGCTAGGCCACTGCTGAAGTCTTGACTCAGAGAAACTATGATATAGTAAATGTTGTTTCAAGTTGGTAAGTTTTGGGATAACTTTTATATAGTGATAATTTTTATATACTTTAAAATAACACATTGCCCTATCCTTTGCTTACACTTTTCTCTTAGAACTCTGCTTGCCCATATATTACAAATATCTTTCAGATCATGGGCTGAAAGGTGGATTATGGATGCAGTGTTTAAATTTAGCAATGTCATTTATGACTGTTCATATGAGCTTTGCTGCATAAAATGTTGATATTAATTTGTTTCCCTTTAAGACATTCTTAATAATTACCTCTCAGTATTTTCTTTGTAGTCAATTAATATAAGATGAATGTAGTTTGTAGGTTTAGCCTTTCTTAATTCGTATACAAAACACACAATGTCTAACCATTGCTATTTAAAGATTAACTAGGAGGAGGTGATGGAAACTGTTTAGGGTCACCTTCTTTACACATTAGGTCTATTTCCCCTAACTTGAGTATATATTAAACTAGTGGGGGATGGAGCTACAAAAATACTACTTGGTGAGAATTTTTTTTAATACAAATACTCAACTCTGAAGTTATGTTTTTTGTGGAAAGCTATCACTTTGGAATTTGAATTTTCTTGGAGCGAAGCCACTGGTAGTTGTAAAAGCTACACCTGTAAATTTGCTCCCTAGAAGATACTTTCATTTAGTGACCACTTGTTTCTCTGTGGATAAATTCAATTATAAATTACAATCGAATTGACTTTTTCATAGCATCCTTCACTCTCCAAGTATCTCAAGTCCTCTGTGAATTATAAAGTAATTACAGTGCTCAAAGGACAGTTTCATAATTGTGTCCATGAGTACAGACTTTCTCTATGTTTGAGAAGGGCTCATTCCCAGCCGGGAACATTAAGTTGGATTTTATTGAGACTGGGGACTGCTGGTCCAGACAGCTGGGTGATCCCCTGTGCTATTTTGAAAAGTATCCTGGGATCTTTAATTTCCACCTGGATGGTCAGGGAGGTGAGAGAATGGCCCTCACTGGGTGTTACCTTGTATCCCACTTGGGGTCTTGAACCAGGGGACCCCCAACCCCAGAGGTGAGATGTGCAATATGGTCAATTATACAACCTCTTAATTATTTTTGCTGAATCTCAAGTGTATTCTCATGGCCTGTACTCCCCCAGGTGGGTTCAGATGGTGACCAAGAAGAAATGTTAGAAAATTCCCAGAGAGCCATTTCATGAGAATGTTTTCATTGGTTTGTGCCTGATACTGTTTTGTTTTCGTTGCTGCTTTTTAATAACATTTTTTTCTTTCTGTGGGGTCATTTGTGTAATACACAGGTGACGAACACTCAAGGTTATTTGGTCACATGCCACAGCTTTCCTTCAGCACGTCTGCAATGAAGGAGTCTTTCTCCTTTTGTTCCTTATCATCTGTTAGCTTGGCACAGCTGACTGAGCTGTTAAATGATTACTGCATATTTTGCACCTCACCTTGAGAGGCTTTGGTATAAAAAGGTGCTAATTAAGCTGAAGCTCCTGGCCCTCTTGCCTATGTGGGCCCCAGGAAGCAAAGCAAAAAACCTTAGGGAGCTGGAGCTTGTGTGTGTGTGTGTGTGTTTGGTTTTCAGCATTTTGAGGAATTGTTACTGGAGCTTATAAAATAATTGTTTTAGACCTATAAACACAGCAAATTCTTCAAACTATGTATGAGGTTGACTCAAAAAGCCACGTAAAGGTAGCTTGGCAAATCAACTAACTGTTGATCAGTTTGTGGCGATCGTAAGTCTATATATACTGGATTTGAATATTTTCTGTATTTAAAGAAAAATAAGTACATTCTAAGAATAGTTGCCATCTCCCTCTCTAGACTTGCCTTGTAGATATTTGAAATGGGGATTAACATATTTAAGAGTAGCAGGAAGTGCTATTTCATCAGTGTCTGGAATGGGAGGTGAATTCACGTCCCTGCCTGGACTTGTTGACTAGCTTGCTGGGTTGTGAGAACCACGGCATTCTCCTGGGAATTGGTTCCAGGGCACTGACTGCATTTCTTCTGAAGCTAAAGCACTTAACTTTGCTTCCATGCCTTTTAATATAATTTGTAGGCTTCAGCAGATTTCTAAAGTACACCACTTGATATCTTTCACAGCTCAAGGTAAATTCTGCAGCATGAACTTATAGAAGTTTTTTTCTTCTACCTGGGGTGAGAACGTACTTTTTCTAGTGCTATTTTTTTTTTTTCTGGGATACCTTTCATCTGTTTACATGAATTCCACTTTTTCTTGCTGTATTAAAAAAATCACCTAAGCTGTCTACATAGGTGTGAAACTTTTGGTTGTGATTTCCTTGAAGTTAGTTGGAACTGGAACATTTTTTTTCTGTATCCTGAATGGCTCACACATTCCCTAACACGGAATGGGTACTCAGTGAACAGTTGTTGAATCAGTGAACAGTAATGGATCAGTTCTGTCAGACAATGGATTGAATTATTTTTACACACTTAGTTCACTCATGGACTGAATTAACCTACTCATGGGCTGTTTGGGGCATCAAGCGATATTTATACATTTCTGGAGAATGTGGAATCGCCTGGGTTAACGGTGTTTGCAGGTGACATTCAATTGCAGGGGCCCAAGGAACTATGGTTGAATTCTGCTTGGGCATAGGCCATTTTCCACCAGCAAAGTTATGAGAACTTTTTTTTTTTTTGATAACTGATATGAAATTTTCAGTTCTGAATGACATCCAGAAACTCGCCTTCTGCAGCAAATGAATAAAATGTTTTGAGGAAATTTGAGAGGAGGGTTGGTCTTTTATCTCTCACCTCTAGCAGGAGGACGCTTGCAGTCTCTTAAGAGATGTTCTCTTTATGAAGTGGTGGAAGGACAGAAGCATCAGCCAGCCCATTCATGCTTGGGGACAGAGAGGGAGCTCAGAGCCTAGGGGAGCACAGGTCACTCTAATGAATGACAGCTGTAATAATAAAGACATGCCATCCATGCTACTTTTTGCGGAAACCAGAAACATCCTTGTGAAAGTTAAAGGGAAAAGAAAAATGTGTACTTTGAGGGGGGTGTTAACAGGGGACAGGAGGTGGCGACATAAAGACTGGTTTAATGTGTCTCGTTGTAGCCCCTAAGGCTTTACCTGACCCCATCACTGTCACAACACCTTCTCCGGGACTGACAGTCTTGGTAATTGATGGGTTGGTGGGGGCTGTTTTCTGCAAACACATTAAGGCAGGAGGGAATACTCTGGCCCCCACCTCCCCATGCCTGGCACGGGGGACCTGGAGGCGAGCAGACACAAGGCCCGGCGGTGTTGAGGGGAGAAGGAATCAATTTTGTCAACCAGACTGCCCAGCTACTGTCAGGCGCTAGGACCTTTCACCCGCTCCTTGGAGTCATTAGAACTCCCAAATCTCTTTGCAGGCCTTTTCTATCAGACACATACTCCCATGTTTTGATTTTTTGCTCCCAAAGTCATTTTTTTAAATAATTACCTGCATCGAACCACACTTACCATCTGTGGGCTGAGAGCGGGCAAATGATTTATTAGTCTTGGTTTCTAACGGTGCTGAGCAGCGTGGGATTGATCTTGCTGGTGACACACTCGGTGGATGCACCGATGGGTGGGAGGGTCAATGTCAGGATGAAGCTTCTTGTGGAGCTGACATGCATGTGGGGACCCGGGGTTTGGTGTTTAGTCGGCAGACTGTGACATTGCAAAAGTGGAGTCTCAAATCTGGGTGGGTAACAGGAGGCAGAAAAAGCAGTGAGGGAGCTTCTTGGGATGTTTTACTTTAAGCAGAAAGTAAAACTGCATGAAAAGAGGAGACAGAGTATGCAACTCAAATCATTGCCAAGAAGGCTCTGGGTTTCTTCTGTGCACACTGCCTGCCTTGTATTCAAGGGTTTGACTGTGCAGAGGCCAGTCATGTTGGGGGACCCTGAGCACTACACTTGGCATTTGGGTGTATCCTGATGTACATCCAAATCAAGATATCCATCAATATAGCCGTTTCCACTGCTTGACATTATGTTTTGGGGGCTAGTTTTTTAAAGATCAATGATTGAATTGTAGCTCGGCTGATTGGATATGTCTTTTTGGAGACTCACCTGTCCTCCCCGATGAGATGCTGACTACACAACAGCAGTCACTGTGCTGGGCACATGGGCAGTGTTCCGGAGACGTGGCTTCCTTCCTCCTTCTTTCATTTCTTCCTGCCCAGAACAGCAAGGCTGAGACTGATAATAAAATTCCTGGAACATGGAGAAACTAACGTGGGGAGAAAAACAGAAATATATTGTGACTTCCATGGGCTTTGGGCACTTTTGGACCTCCCCCCTCTCTTTTCCATAAAAAATGCATTTTAAGACATATTGGCATAAAGATGGAATTATTCATAGTACATATTAAAATTTTTCCACTACCTAAAAGTTTGTGATTTTATTGTCTTCTTGTTTTTAAAATAAATTAAAATATTTTCAAAGGCCCTTAGAAGAACTGTGGGCCCTGAGCTCGGTGCCTGCTGTGCCTGATAAATCAGGCCTGGAGAAGAGACATCAGTGACATTTTAGTGTCAGGTAGAAAATGTAAAATATCATGATTGTTTTCCAATGATATACTAAGTAAGACACATAAGATGTGTTTTAATTTTTTTTCTTGATGTATGCTGTGGTCTTTTAGTTATAAATGCTGAATATTGTTAAAACATAAACTGAGGCACCATAAAAATTTAAAGAGTTTATTTGAGCAAACAATGATTTGTTACAGAAACACCAGGGGTTCATCGAGGTCCTGCTGCTCACTGCACAGAAAGCCAATCACCGAGACAATGAATATTGCCAAGGAAGAAGGCTTTAATCAGGTGCTGCTGTCCAGGAGATAGGAGATCAGTCTCAAGTCCACTTCCCTGACTGATTAAAACTAGGGGTTAGCAGGGAAGAAATGTAACAATATGTAAGAAAACAGGAACAGAAATCATGAAGAATGAGGGGCCTGACATCTCATTGCATGTGATGATCTGGTGAGTTTCAGTTCTTTGATACTCTTTGAGAGGTCTGGGTTTCCTTTCCTGTGGAAGGAACTCAGATAAAACAAATGTAAGTTTGAAGCTGTAAGATCAGAAGGATCAAATTCTATGTTGATCTGAAAACTGCATGGGACTACTGGGTCAGTTTCAGATTCATGAATCAGGCAGCTCCAAACTAAAAGTGGTTCAGTGCCTATGGTGAAGAAAGGAAGAGACAGGCTTTTGTAGAGTGAACGAGGAAACAACAGAAATGAAATATTTGATTGGTTACAATTAAAACTTGCCTCATTTGGTCTATCCTGCTGAGAAGTCCTCAGTTATATAATTATAAATTTGTTGGCGGCTTCTGATTGTTAGAGCTTCAGTTCTGGTTTTCTAATATGGGCATTTACAGAAATAGCTCATGTTAAGTTTTGTTTCTGTTTGCAAATCAAGCAAGATCAAGGTCATTAATGAAGCCTAACTGGCTTTGCCTGCTCAGGGCATCTTCAAGCCTGGTTTTCATTTTAATTTACTGTAACAGTACTTTAGATTTGTAAGGTAAAGTTAGAATCCATCTTTGTTGACTCCAAAACATACTCTGAAGTTTGAACTTTTTAATAACTCCCTGATATGTATTAACTTTTTTTGTAGGTATGACTGTCATCTAAATTTCCAAGTTCTTTTTTTTGAGACAGAGTCTCACTGTGTTACCCAGGCTGGAGTGCAGTGATGCGATCTCAGCTCACTGTAACCTCCACCTTCTACGTTCAAGAGATTCTCGTACCTCAGCCTCCTGAGTAGCTGGGATTACAGGCGTGTGCTGCTATGGCCAGCTAATTTTTGTATTTTTAGTAAAGATGGGTTTTCACTGTGCTGGCCAGGCTGGTCTTGAATTCCTGACCTCATATGATCTGCCTGCCTTAGCCTCCCAAAGTGCCGGGATTATAGGCATGAGCCATGCCTGGTCTCCAAATTCTTTGTAGTAAGTACTTAGTATTTTAGACTTCTTAAGCTTTTTCCTCCTACTTAGCTGAAATTTTGTATCCTTTAAGTACTTACTACAGAGAACTTGGAAATTTAGATGACAGTCATACCTACAAATAAAGTTATTATGGATAAGTTATAGCGTTATTTAACTTATTATGGGTAAGTTATAGTGTTATTTAACAATCAGTATGCTACTTAGGAAAAAACTTCCTGAGCTCTCTGCAAAAAAGCCTGTTGTAAAGCAAATAATGCCATCTAATGTATTTGCTTGTCACTTGGGTTGTTTTTCCAATTATTGAAACGTTTAAACTGAATGCATCTCTATTCTTCCTAGCCTGGTGAGTTCTGAAGGGTTGGGCTATATCTCTGACTTTTTTCCACCCTGACAAGTGTTTCCTAAGAGCAAGTGTGGTGCACAGGTAATAGCCTAGGCTATAGAGGTCACTGACTGTAGTTCAATTCCTCGCCTTTCCATTTGCTCTAGGGCAAGTTACTGAAATGCTCTGTGCTTCCGTTTCCTCAACTATAAAAAGAGGAAAAAAAATGCAAGTATCCTTCATAATCCAAAGCAAATTTGTTCCGTATACCAGGTAAGACGGTGAATATCCACAAAGCAGAAGCCCATGTCCCTTTATTTAATTTAATGTATGTATTATTAATTTTTCTATTATTTATTTTTAAAACTGATATAGAATTGTACATATTATTAATGGTGTACAACCTGGTGTTTTGAACTACATATACATTGTGAAATGGTTAAATCAAGCTAATTAACATATGCATTACCTCACATACTTATCATTTATTTTCGATGAGGACACTTAAATCACCTTTCTTGGTAATTTTTTTTTTTTTTTTGAGACAGAGTCTCGCTCTATCACCCAGGCTGGAGTGCAGTGGCACGCTCTTGGCTCACTGCAAGCTCCGCCTCCTGGGTTCACGCCATTCTCCTGCCTCAGCCTCCCGAGTAGCTGGGACTACAGGCGCCCGCCAGCATGCCCGGCTAATTTTTTTGTATTTTTAGTAGAGATGGGGTTTCACTGTGTTAGCCAGGATGGTCCCAATCTCCTGACCTCGTGATCAACCCGCCTCGGCCTCCCAAAGTGCTGGGATTATAGGTGTGAGCCACCGTGCCTGGCACTTTCTTAGTAATTTTCAAGAAAGTAAAATATTATTACTAACTCTAGTCCCTATGTTGTACAATAGATTTCCTGAACTTATTCCTCATATCTAGCTGAAATTTTGTATCCTTTGACCAACATCATTCCAATCACTCCGACCCCGCAGCCCCTGGTAACTTCTATTCTACTCTACACTTCTGTGAGTTTGACCTCTTTAGATTGCACTTATAAGTGAGTGAGATCATACAGTATTTCTCTTTCTGTGCCTGACTTAATCTCACTTGTGGAAAAATAATAAACAGGTTTCTAACTCATCCTAAAGTCCCAAATGAAGTCCCCCCAAATCCCTAAAACTCAAACAGGTTGGTTCATGACAAACCACTAAAGATGTGTGCATGACAGAAAGTGTTTAAAATGTTACCTCATTTTAAAATAATTAACTCATTGATGGGTATGCTTGTGTGTACAGTAACTCTAGAAATGATTTTCTACAATTCATGAAACATATACTCTAATGTAAATGAGCAATGAAGTAATACATTAAAAACAGGCAGGGCATGGTGGCTCACGCCTAGAATCCCAGCACTTTCGGAGGCCAAGGTGGATGGATTGCTTGAGCCCAAGAGTTTGAAACCAGCCTGGGCAACATGATGAAACCTCATCTCTACAAAAAATACAAAAATTAGCTGGGCATAGTGGCATGTATCTGTTATCCCAGCCACTCGAGGGGCTGAGGCGGGAGGATCGCTTGAGCCCAGGAGGTTGAGGTTACTGTGAGTTATGATAGCACCACTGCACTCCAGCCTGGGTGACAGAGTGAGACCCTGCCTCAAAAAACCAAACCAAACAAAACAAAAGACAAAAATACAAAAAAAAAAAAAAAAAAAAAGAAACCCATTGTGAAGTAAAATAAGCAAGCAATGCAAATTTAAAAAATGATTCCTTACAAATTGGAGACCTACAGATTGAAGGTGATTGAGATTTGGAGGTGAGAGAAGGGATATGGAACTGTTGTCACTGTTGTTGCCTGTGCTAAACCTCTAAGGTACAACGACTTCTTGGTCCATTGGTGGTAAAAGCAACTTGAACTTTATCTTCATAATCAACAGCACTAGAAAGAGTGTGCTCTGTCAACAAAAGAGTGTTGATTGCAAAATTTTCATTCATCATATCTTTAATGGATGGTGACAGAAAGCTGCTGGTTTGTACAGGCTTATGATAATGGTTCGTACAGGCTTATGATTCAAATATCAGGTGACAGACAATGCCTTCTCTTCTACTTGGCTCTAAAGGGCACTGAAGTTGTTGGAGTAGTATATCAGTGAGAGTTTTAGCCTAACACCTTCTTCATAAATGCCTCCAAAAGTAGCATTAGCCTTTGTTTAGGTTTCTATCTAGGCATATATTCTTGTCTTCTGAAATGGACATATAAGTTGCCTTTTTTTCTTTCTTTCTTTCTTTTTTTTTTTGAGACAGAGTCTCTCTCTGTTGCCCAGGCTGGAGTGCAATGGCATGATCTCGACTCACTGCAACCTCCGCCTCCTGGGTTCAAGCGATTCTCCTGACTCAGCCTCCCAAGTTTTAATGTGTAGAGGGGCAGCACCTGAAAGGTCTCTGTGGCTTCTAATAGTCCAGGGAGACAAGAAGTCAAAGAGGTCCCTGTGTGGACACTAGGAGAGGGGACAGGGAACCTCCTGGGAAGCAAGTCACTCACATGGCCAGGGTCAGAAAGCCCTCAGAGAGAGCAGAGAGTCACGAGGGTCTGTGGTTGGTGTCTGGGTTGCTATAACACTGTTGTTTTTGTTTTTTTTTTTTGCAGTTAGTTTGCTAACGTCAATTCTGAGTTAGAGACACAAGACGTGTGGGCTAAGAGATGTCTCCATTTTCAACACACACTAGACAAACTTAATTATTTATAAGAGTCTCTATTGGAGCACTTCAGGCTGTGCAGAGGCAGCTTTTAGATGGTGAAGGCAGAGCTAGTTTTTTTTCAAAGGGCGCTGGAAAGATAGGGCTAGTTTTTGGATTTTGTTTCACATTTTGTTTTTCAAACAAGCTGGTAAATATTGAATTAAAGCATTATTTTGGGCCAGGTTTACATAGAGTGGCAATGAAACATTTCACTGGATAAAGGAATAGGGGGAAAATAGCCC